CTGCTTATGTACAAAAAACATGGGATGTGGTTTCTTGGGGAGATACAGGGTCAAAGTTTCATGAGATCCCAGTAATTAGTCTAATGTGTTTAGTGCTTCTGTTCTATCTCCCATTTTGTTGCATAGTGTGTGGGGTTTAAACGCCTGCAAGCAGCCATGTAAGAAAGTTGGAAGCTGTCAAAAATAAAGAAACACATAAATACCAGTATCCTGGGCATTAGTGAGCTGAAATAGACTGGTATTGGCCATTTTGAATCAGACAATCATACGGTCTCCTATGCCAGGTATGACATATTGAAGAGGAATGGCATCACATTCACCATCCAAAAGAACATTTTAAGATCTATCCTGAAGTACAATACTGTCAGTGATAGGATAATACCCATTTGCTTACAGAGAAGACCAGTATTTACTACAGTTGTTAAATTTACACACCAATCACTAAACCCAAAGACGAAGAAATTAAGATTTTTGCCAACTTCTGCAGTCTGAAATTGACCAAACCTGCAATTAAGATGTATTGATAATTACTTGTCATCTGGAATGTGAAAGTTGGAAACAAAGATGAAGAATTAGTAGTTGTAAAATAGGCCTTGGTGATAGAAATGACACAGGAGATTGCATGATAGAATTCTGCAAGACTAATGATGTAGTCATTACAAACTTCTTCAACAAAATAAACGGAGACTACACGGTGACCTCACTAGATGGAATGCACAGGAATCAAATCGACTACATCAGTGGAAAAAGGCAATGGAGAAGCTCTATATCATCAGTCAAGATCAGGAGCTGACCGTGGAAGAGATCAATTGCTTATTTGCATGTTCAAGCTGAAGCTGCAGAAAATTAAAACAAGTCCACGAGACCCAAATTAACAACCTTGATTATAAACCCACCTGAATATAGAGAACACTCTGAAGAACAGACTTGAACACCAGTGACTGAAGACCAGACGAGTTGTGGGATGACATCAAGAACATTTTATGTGAAGAATGCAAAAGATCATTAAAAAGAGGAAAGGAAGAAAAGACCAAAATGGATGTCAGAAGAGACTCTGAAATTTGCTCTTAAATGTAGAGTAGCTTAGGAGAATGCAAGAAAGGATTAAATAAAAAGCTGAATACAAGATTTCAAAGGTGGCTCAAGAAGACAAAGTATTATAATAAAATGTACAAAGATCTGGAATTAGAAAACTAAAAGGGAAAAACATGCTTGGCATTTCTCAAGCTGAAAGAACTGAAGAAAAAACTCAAGCCTCGAATAGCAATACTGAAGGATTCTATGGCCAAAATAATGAAAGATACAGGAAGCATCAAAAGAAGGTGGAAGGAATACACAGAGTCACTGTAACAAAAAGAATTGGTCAATATTCATCCATTTCAGGAGGTGGCATATGATCAAGAACCAATGGTATTGAAAGAGGAAGTCGAAACTGCACTGAAGGAAGTGGTGAAAAACAAGGCTCAAGGAATTGACAAAATACTCCACAAATGGAGGTGCTTATTCATTTATGCCATGAAATTTGGAAGATAGCTTCCTGGCCAACCAACTGGAAGAGATCCACATATGCACCCATTCCAAAGAAAAGTGATCCAACAAAATGTGGAAATCATTGAAGAGTACCAGTACTACCAAATGCAAGTAAAATTTTGCTGAAGATAATTCAAAAAAAAACAGTATTGAAAGGGAACTTCCAGTATTTCAAGATGTATTCAGAAGACGACATAGAACAAAGGATATCATTGCTGCTGTCAGACAGATCTTGACTGAAAGCAAAAAATACCAGATTTTTAACTATGTTTTACTGACTATGCAAAGGCATTCGATTGTGTGGATCATTACAAATTATGGATAATATTGGAGAGTGGAAATTCCAGAACACTTAATTGTGTCCATGAGGAAACTGTCCATAGACCAAGAGGCTTTTGTTCAAAAAGAGCAAGGGGATACTACCTGGCTTAAAATCAGGAAGGTGTGTGTCAAGGTTGTATCCTTTTACCATACTTATTCAATCTGTATGCTGAGCAAATAATCCGAGAAGCTGGACTGTATGAAGAAGAGTGTGGAATCAGGATTGGAGGAAGGCTCATTGACACCCTGTGGAAGTAAAGATGACTTGAAGCACTTACTAAAGATCAAAGAATACAGTCTTCAGTATGGATTACACCTCAACATAAAGAAAACAAAACTCCTCACTACTGGACCAAAAAGCAACATCATGATGTGTGGAGAATAGATTGAAGTTGTCAAGGATTTAATTTACTTGGATCCATGATCAACACCCGTGGAAGCATCAGTCAAGAATCAGATGACATACTGTACTGGGCCTATCTGCAAGGGACTTCTTTAAAGTGTTAAAGAGCAAAGATGTCACTTTGAAGACTAAGGTGTCCCTGACCTATGCCATGGTATTTTCAGAGGCCTCAAATGCATGTGAAAGCTGGGCAAAGAATAAGAAGACAGAAGAACTGATGCCCTTGAATTATGGTGTTGGCAAAGAATACTGAAAATACAATGGACTGCCAGAAGAAGGAACAAATCTGCCCTGGAAGAAATGCAGCCAGAATGCTCCTTGGAAGTGAGAATGGCCAGACTTTGTCTCACCTACTTTGATCATGTCAGAAGGGACCAGTCCCTGGAAAAGGGTATCATGCTCTGGTCAATGAAAAAGGGGAAGACCCTCAATAAGATGGATTTGCACAGTGGCTGCAACAATGGGCACAAACATAACAAGGATTGTGAGGATGGCGCAGGGCCGGGCAGTGTTTTGTTCTGTTGTACGTTGGGTGGTATGAGTCAGATCCAACTATACAGTACGTAACAACAACTCTACCATTTTGGGGCACAAGGCCCAAAACCTTTAAAATAAAACATCATCTGAAGACTCAAGAGTAAGCTCTTTATCCTGTGATGTGTCCCCTATTTAAAAATGACAAACTCTTCAAGACAGCTGTGTTATTTTCAAACAAGAGGGGACAGAAAGATGAAACAAAAGTTTGTGGTTACTATCTTGCTATGTTCCTGTACTTGCTAATATATAAAAGTAAATCATTGCCCTATCTTCTCACAATAACCTTGAGATTTAAGGCCATAGATAATTAATAGAGCCACTTAGAGGAAGAAAGATGTGGTAGTTTCCTTCTGTAAAGAGGATGGCCTTAGAAACCCTATGGAGCAGTTCTACTCTATCCTATAAAGTCACTGAGTCAGAATCCACTTGATGGCAGTAGGTTTTTTTGGTGACCAGCTAAGAGGACAATCAATCAACTTCTTTGCTCATGTTTCTCTAGAAGATTATTGTGGTTTCTCTCTCCAAAGTACTTTTTTTTTTTTTTAAAGTAAGTCTTTTCTTTCTTACGTCTTTACTTGGTCTGATTTTTGTGCTAATGTAAGCCAAAAACAAAACAAAGCAAAAAACCCACATTAAATATACTGCTGTCTTTACCTCACTTTGCCACATAATACACACACAATTTTGCAGTTAATATGTAATGGAGGTTTTGAAATCTTAGTTCTGACCAATGCAAAGTAAGGTGGGGACTTGGTGCACTTCCCACATAATTTAAGAGGCAAACAAGTCTAGCTTTCAGTTAGAAAAGAACTGTGCTTCAGTCTTTACTTTTGCTATTGACCTATTTTGAATGAACCGCAGGTCTGCAAATTCAGTAGTGAATTTTAAACTAAAATTTTCGAGGAATGTGGTGGCTACTTAACTTTGTACAGCAGCCACCTCAAAACAAACTTCGTGTTTTGGGTGTTAGTTTTTGCTGTTTGTCAGTTCCTTCAGACAGGACCCTCTTCCAGCTATTTGTTTTGAAAAAACACTATTTTAATGTAGTACTAGAACTTCTGGGGCAATATACTTCCGTAGTGATACTGCCTCGGAAACCCAAGGAGGGGTCGCTATGAGTAGGGTCTGACTCCACGGCACATAACAACAACTTCTTAGGAGCGCTGGTAGCATAGTGCCAAAGGCATTTGACTGCTAACTACAAGGCTGGCAGTTCAAACCCACGTCACTCCTCCGAAGGAACCGGGTCAGCCTACTTCTGTAACCCTCTTGGAAACCCAGGAGGGGTCGCTATGAGTAGGGTCTGACTCCACGGCACATAACAACAGAACTTCTTAAAGACCTAATGGTGCAGAGGGTAAGTGCTCGGTTGCAAAAGGAAACCAATCTCTCCTGAGAGAAACGTGGGGCAGTGCGCTTCCATGAAGATTTACTGCCTGGGAAATGCTACGGGGGCAGTTTTACTCCGTCCTGTAAGATTGTTGACTCCGAATTCAATCCCAAGGCAACAAATTTTTTTTTTTTTTGTATTTTTTGTTTTAATGCTTCTCAACACTAGCTTATTAGAAGAACTGTTTGTATTATCTTCTGTTTCAATATCGTGGAAACGTCCCGGTGGCCGCTGACTAGAGGCTTGTTGTTAGATGCCGTGGACTAGAAGTGGGGAAGATTAAGATAGATATTTTAAAGGTCTTAAATTTCCTACAGAGTATGGTAGTAGTTTTACCTAGCCCGGCATTTTCACGGGTGAAAATGCTCGGTGAAGTACAATTCCTCCAACCCGGTTAACCAACAAGGTTACGCCCCTCAGCGGCCACCATTGGGCCTTTAATAAACCCGCCGCGGCTCTCCCACCTCCCCGCGGGCGTGCACTTCCGGCCGCAGGGATGCTCGGGAACGCGCTTCGCGAACCTCCACCAACCAGCGACTCCGCCAGACCGGAGCGAGTACGCGCGCGCACATATATGCGCAGGTTCGAATCTCCGTCGTTTCGCGGTTGCTCCCCAACGTCCGGGTCGCAACTCGGCGACGGCGAGCGCGGTGCGCGCGCCGGCCTTCAACCCTCTCTGCCCTATCCACTTTCCCGTTGCTAATTCGCACTGACTTCGTTCCGGCCCTTCGTTGCGCGCTCTGGCCTGGACCTACGTCTCCGCAGCTATCAGCGCTCGGTTTCCCGCGCCAGTCCGGCTCCGCCCGAGACTCTGGGCCCATGGCCAAGCGGCGTGCGGCCGAGCCGCTGACGTTCCACGTGCCTTGGAAGCGGCTCCTGCTCTGCGACTTCGCGGAGGAGTCGCCGCCGCTGTGGATCCCGCCGCAGAGGCCCTCGCTACCGGGGCAGCCCCTCGGTGTCCCCGAACTGCCCCGAAAGCGCAAAATCGGCGCGGGGGCCATGGCCGAACCCTCGGCTTCACCTAGCAAGCGCCGTGACAGCGGGGACGACAGCGCTCCTGGCAGCCTGGGAGACGAGGAGCGTGAGGGCCGCAGGCTAGAGACCGGAGAGCCGCGGGAGCAGCCCCTCAGACCGGGGGAGGAGCCCCGGGGCGTCAGGCTCCAGAGGGGCGGTGGCGACGAAGGGGCGGGGCGCTCAGAGACCGCACGGGGAGACTGGGGGGCCGCGCCGTGCCAGGTAGGGTCAAGTACGGGATGGGTGCATTTGAGGGCGGACAGGGTGAGGGATGAAGGGGTCCCTCTTTCCCCTGGCAGACAGCTCACCTTGGGGAAGGAACAGATCGACCCGCTCTAGACTGAAGTTCTTCAAGACAAAAAAGCTCGGGCCAATGGCCCGGGAATGGACGTCTGTCCTCAGGCCACACGCACAGGGACCCAGAGCCCGCCTGTGGCAGCATTTAGGGCAGAGTCCAGCGGACTGAAAGCACTTTCTTAAACTAGTGTGAAAGAGACTGTCGAGTAAAATAGAGGGCCCTGGCAGTTGCTGCTCCTGTGACACAAAAGGAGGAAGCAGGAACATGGTCACGACAGACTATTACAGAGTATGGTAAAGGCGTTGACTGTCCGCACATAGGTACTCAAAGACAAACGTCAGAAGAAGGTGTAGTGTCTTCCTTGGTTTGCCAATAGTTATATTAGAATACTTGCAAAGAGGGTGTGCAATGTGGTAGGCACTAGTTGGATATACTTAGGCATGAGAGCTCACTTGATAAGAAAGGCCTTCCTTTCTTGGGAGAAGCTCTTTTAACTCAAAGTGTTAAAACTCCTCAAGGGATTGTGTTTGAAACTTGAGGCCCTAAGAAAAAGTATATAGGAGCATCATTTCAGGAGATCCCTCCTCGGGAACTTGCCTCATCTTTATCTAAGAAGATCTGGATTGTCCGGATCTGTGTTGCTCACGATGGCAGCCACTAGCCATATAAGACCGTTGAGCACTTAAAATATGGCTAGTCCAAATTGAGATATGTAGTCAGTGTACAATACACTCTAGATTTCAGAGATTTAGTATGAAATAAGGAAAATTTTTATATTGATTACACATTGAAATAACATTTTTGATATATTGGATTAAATAAAATATGCTAAAAGTAAGTTCAACTGCTTCTTTTACATTTCTTATATGGCTACTCAAATAAAAAATCAAACTCAATGCCATCCAGCCAATTCTGACTCATAACAATCCCCACTAGATTTCTAAGGCTGTATGTCTTTTCGGAAGCAGGTTGCCTCATCTTCCACAGAGCAGGTTTGAACCACCATCCTTTTGGTTAGCAGCCAAGTGCCTTAACCACTATAACAGAGCTCCTTCGTATAGCTACTAGAAAATGTGAAATTATGTATGTGCCTAGCATATTTTTATTGAGCAGTGCTGGTTTAGACCTAGGAGTTCGAGCTGATTTTTGGCATTTGTGGGTTGACCACCAGGGACTTTTGAGAATGCAGGCACTAAGTACAGGGCTATACATTTACCAGACTCCTCAGCCACAACATCATAGCACCTACCTCCCATTTATCCATTGTGTTTTTAAGTATCGTATAGAAGAATTTATCAAATACCTTTTAAAACAAAAGTAATTGAAGTTCCTTTGGTATGACTTGTTCTTGGTGAAAAATTAATAAAATAATGACAATTTTATAATTAGGAAAAATGTTTTATCCATGATTATAAGGAATTATCTTTTTGACTTAATCTAATATGATGGGCATTTCTGGATGAAATTTAAACTGTAAATATTTCTACATCAAGTTTTATTGGCATTTAGGAAGCATGAGCCTTTACTAGACTTTTTTTTTTATATTGCACTAATATGTTCAAAATCAAAACAATGATAGTTACAAAGACCTATTGGATATGGAGTTAAGTTGTATAGCTTGAAAACTTTTCCTCTTCAGACCATTTTTTGACTGCCATGAATCAGGTACCCCACCCATACATAGACTTGTTCCTCCTTCCAGAATATGCTTACTGCACTATGCAACAAAAATGATAAGCAAGTACAGAAATGGCAACTAGGCAAAGAAAAATAATTATTTCATGGATCGTCACAAGGATGTCTGCTTAGATTCTGGACACACCTGTTATCTCCCTATGGTAATGACTTGATGACTTAACCTGGCTGTTGTTCCTATACAATAAAAACAAACCCAACTCATTGCCATTGAGTTGATTCCTACTCATAGTGACCCTCACTGGGTTTCCAAGGTGATAAGCCTTTATGGAAGCAGATTGCCCCATCTTACTTCCATGGGGTGGCTGGTGGGTTTGAACTGGGAACCTGATTAGCAGTCAGATGCCTTAGGCACTGCACCATCAGAGCTCTTCCTATATGTAGTCACAAAATGCATGGCAGGAGACAAGCTTGGCTCTCCGATTTCCTTCACCAAGACTTGTTCGCTAATAGCTTTTGGCAAAAGCCTAGGAACTCTGTCATATTCCTAATATTTCTTAGATCTGTTCCTGTTCTGCTTCTCTTCTGCCAACCTGGAAAGAGGAACATGTTCTCTCTAGATTCCTTCTTTTCTTCCTGCCTCCAAAGGTAGACTGCACCTACTGATTTATCAAATATCTTGTTATCTGACATTTCTTAGAGCTATACTAAAAATTTATCTAACTATTTTTGCATTAATGACATACACCTGGTAGTAACAAATGCCAGCGTGTGAGGCAAGAGTAATATTGCCTGTGATGGTTAAAGTTATGTGTCAACTTGGCTGGGCCATGGTTCTCAGTGATTTGGCAGTTAAGTAATAATGTAACTTGGCAGTTATGTAATGTAGTTACCCATTTTGTGATCTAATGTGACCTCCATTTTCACATGACTTATTTTTGCATAACTACATGTCGGTGAGTGAGATGTGGTTTTATTTTGTTTTAAAGGCTTTATAGCTAATTGCCAACAGGAAACAGGATATAACAAAACAAAACATGAAAAAGTTAAAAAGCTTTTTCAGTTTATACAGTAAATGTCAGGTTCCTGATGGGAATCAGGGCTTAGTCCCTGCTTTCACCCTTGGAGTCTCATTTAGGGAACATTTCCTCAAATAATGTCACTTCTTTATAATTGAAGATGAAATCTGGCAGAATAATCGAGCCTCTTTTCTGTCTTGGAAGCTTGGAGTATTTCCTAAGTTTCAGATGTATTCTGTTTTTTTTTTTTTTTTGTTAGAGAACTAAACTAAAACCCAGTATTACTTCATTAAATATTTGTCTTTTCAAAATAGTGTTACTTTATGCAGATTGAATTGCTCTGTCAATGTTGACCCATACTGTTAGATTGTTTAATGGAAAGTAAACAAATATTTTGACTAGAGAAAATTGTGATTCCTAGTAGCAATATTGAACACTTAACTGTTAAACCTTAATTTTCACAGCAGTCCTTCTAGGTGGGTGTCATTATTCCCATTTTAATGATGAGGAAGTAGATGATTTGAACAACAGATTTTCCCAAAAGGTAGAGAAATAGATCATTATTTTAAATTTAATTTGCTTATTACAGTGAAATATTTAAGATCCTTTGAATTAGTACGTTTGTATCCCAATATTAAAAAATTTCCATGCATAGAGAGGGAGAACAATGTGGAACAAAACTCAAAATCATTTGGAGGCAAAAAAAAAAAAGAAGGTGGGGACCAGGTTTGCTGGTCCAATAGAGCCTGGTGGAACCACTGAGACTATGGCCCCTAGCTGCCCTTCAGCTCTGGAATTGAACCCACACCTGTGGTTTCCAGCCAAAGTACAGGCATGTGAGTGAAACATTTACCTCAAGTAGACACACGCCCTGGAGAGAACAATCATGGGAGAAGGAAGGGCTGCTTATGCACAGGGAGACAGCTCAGGGCGCAGAAGAGTATGGAGGGATGGACACTGGGAAGAGGTAACTATGGGGAGGAAGTGGGAGGGGAGCTGTTGCATTGTAAATTTTGGTCAATGACATGAGACAAAGTATATGTGAATTGCTGTATGAAAAGTGAATTTACTCTGTAAATCTTCACCCAAATCAAAATAAAATTTAAAAAAAAAAGAAATTTCCAAATGACTAAAGGCATTTAATGAACTTCGTGATGAGATTTCCATATAGACCAGTGTTGTCCACTAGCCATTATTGAGCACCAGCAACCACTAGCCATTATTGAGCATTGAAATGTGGTTAGTCTGAAAGGTGCTGGAAGTGTAAAATACACACTAGATTTAAAAGACTTAGTATGATAAAAAGAATATAAACTACCTTATTAATTTTTAAAATACTGATTGCAAGTTGAAATTGTACTATTTTGGATATACTGGGTGAAATAAAATAGGGAGATTAATTTGACGTATTTCTTTGTACTTTTTAGCTGTGTTTACTAGAAAATTTAAAATTGCATATGTGGCTCCCTTTATATTTCTGTTGGGCAATACTGCTGTGCTGCTGTGTAGAAAGGATAAACCTGAAGAACTCAATATAGTAGAATATATATCCATCCATCTGGGAGGTGTTATCCATCGCAATAGTCGTCTCGGAAATCTGTATATAATTCCAGTGCTATTTCCTTTGCATAAAGTATGGAATACTATTGAAATTCTGTGCCAGTTTTGAACTTTATTAGAACATCGACTTCATTTTATAAGTATGCTGCTGGATTTTTAAGGAGCCAGCACACATTTAGATTTATAAGTTTTGGTTGATTGATTTAAGAGTTATATCTTATACAGAATAGTGTATAAGTTATATGAGTATCAAATACATATATACCAAATTGTATATAAGTGTATTTATTGTTTAATACATTACTGTTTCTTCTTTGAAAGGTGAAAAATTTTAAGACTGTTTTCAGACATTTTCTTTGGTTGCAAAATGGGAAAAACCCTGTGGGAAGTGTTTCCTGAAAATAATGACTTTTTCTAAGTCACTAACCTACGTTCATCTCTCCTTTTTTCCCCACAAAGCATAATGAAGAATTTTGGCAGTATAATACATTTCAGTACTGGAGGAATCCATTACCACCTATTGATTTGGCAGACATTGAAATTGTTAATGAAGATAAGCTGACAGAATTAACACTTCAGGGCAAGAATGAAGTGGTTGAGATTGACATGGAGTCATGATTGGAGGAGCTGAAGAAATAGTTCCTGCTGGATTTGAGGCGACGTCTCTAAGTGACTTCATGTAGTCTTAAGGGAAAAATAGTTTTCCATACTTGGTGTGTTGTTATTCCTGAACCTGAAAAAGAAGAAAAGGTTGTTTTAAAGATAAATGCCTGCTGATCCTCCTCATACATATTTATTAAGGATATAATACAGTTATAGGGGAAGTATTTTACATATGAATTCTTAAATTTTGTTTAGATTCTAAGTTTGAAGAGACCAATATTATAAAAAGGAATTCTGGCAGTTTTAGAAGTAAGTGAGAAATACTTAAGTAATATTCCTCCTGTCTGCACCGATTGGTTTATTGTGGCCATGAAGATTGTTTTATAATGTTATTAATAAAATACTTTCTTAATACATTTTATTGACTCTTAGTTGAACTCTTCTTAAATAGCTGACTTAAACATCTATGCAAACTTAAAATGTAGAGGATTCTTTCTGAAAGTTGATACTGTTTTAAAAGAGCTTTCTAAATGTAAAGTAGTGTGAATTTCAGTTGGGTAGCATGTTTGCATATCTTTTAATATTTGGTATTTGTTAAACTCTAATGGGCAATCAGAAATGGATAAACAACAATTGGAAATGTTAGCTGCAGTTCATTTCGACTCATGGTGACCCCAGGTGTGTCAGTAGCACTTCTCTAAGGATTTAAATGCTATGCTGTGACCTTTCAGAACAGATTGTCAAGCCTGTCTTCGAAGGTGTGCCTATGGATGGTTTCAAACCACCAACCTTTCGGCTAGTAGTTGAGAATGTAACCATATGCATCACCCAGGACCTAATGAAAAGTGAGTAGGTGCCATTATGTTCTCTTTTCCCAGGATAAGAGGAAATAAATTTATCATATGGTCAGTCTTGGTTTTGAATTACTTTGAGGGGATAGCTTTTATTGCTTATTACTTTAGACTTGTAGTTCTCAACACTGACAACTCTTCAAAAATCTTTGCCTGGGCCCTACTCTTAAAAGATTCTCATTTAGTTCTGAGTGGACCTTGAGTGTAAATATTTTTCAAAGCATCAATCCTTTCCCTCTGCCTATTCCTGTAATGTGCAGATAGGGTTGAGAACCACTAGATTAATGGCAGTTTTTCCTGTTTAAAGGAGATAACTAATTTGAGCTGAAGCAATGCCAATTACTTAGCTTTGTTTTTATTTTGCCCTGTTGATGACATTGTTATAATTATAGTATTATTACTGTTTCATTGTTAAATAAAGTAAGCATTATGTGTTTGAGTTACATGAGTATCAATGATTACATTAATTAACTGCAGTACTGTATCCTGACTGTTTGCTTTGTAATTGACTAACTTGTCCCTGCTTGTACATGTACTGTTTTTGATGACATTAGATCTAAAATTCAAGAAGATGATAAATGCCAGTTAAGAGAAAAAACTTGATGTATTTTGTGTTGTAGAATTTCAGTATGAGTTAACATTAATAAGATGATAAACTATATATAATGTGACTTTGCACGAATGTTTCCTTCCTATTAACATTAAGCAAGTTAGTTTTTGTCTCCAAACTTCAGATTTGTCATCCATTAAATGGGAATAAAAAGATTATCTGGACCAGTAAGCCATATGATGATAAATGGAGAAAATACTGTTATCAAGGATTTAATTTTACTTGGATCCACAATCAATGCCCATGGAAGCAGTAGTCAGGAAATCAAGTGACATACTGCACTGGGAAAATCTGTGGCAAAAGACCTCTTTCAAGTATTAAAAGGCAAAGATATCACTTATTCAATCACCTTTTACTATTTGCAATCACCTCATGTGTGCAAAAACTGGACAATGAATAAGGAAGACTAAAGAAGATGCAATTTGAATTATGGTATTGGCAAAGAATTTTGAACATACCGTGGACTGGCAAAAGAATAAACAAATCTGTCTTAGAGGAAGGACAACCAGAATGGTCCTTAGAAGTGAGGATGGTAAGACTTTGTCTAACTTTGGACATGTTATCAGGAGGGACCAGTTCCTAGAGAAGGATATCATGCTTTGGTAAAGTATACCAAAAACAGGAGGAAGAGCCTCAATGAGATGGATTGACACATTGGTTGCAACAGTGGGCTCAAACATAGCAATGATTGTGAAGATGGTACAGGACCGGGCAGCTTTTTGTTTTGTACATAAGAGTTGCAGTGAGTTGGAACTGACTTGATGGCACCTAATAACAATGCCTCACAGAGACTATGTTTATTAAGGCTCAGGCAATGTACTAAGTACTTCACATGCATCATCTTGTGTATTTTTCAAAATACCCTTATGTGTAAAGTAGGTTCCAGAAAATTAGAATAAAAGTGCTGCCTATAGTTGCATTTTGTTCTGCACTGTATGGGCTGCAGTTAGGAGTTTCAAGGTAAGAATTGGAATTGAAATAGCAAGGATACCAAGCAAATGGGGAAGCAGTTAAAGAATGCAAAAAGTAAAATGGTAAACTTGCTTTTCCCCTTCTGTTTGGTCTGAGGAATAGTGTGTGTCTTGTTCACTGCTCTATTCTTAGAGCCTGGAACAGTACCTGGTGCATTTGAGGCAATCAGTAAATATTGAATGAATAAATAAATGGACATTCTTATTTGTTGATAGAAAGTTAATATCAGCTATTTTAGTTCTAGGAATTTATCTGAAAAAGCTAGGCTGTTTACCCAAAGAAGCATGAATGGAAGATTTGTTCCGACATTGATCAAATAGCAGAACATTAGATAAACTAAATGTTGAGTGATAATTGGACAGATCTCTACTGCGGAATTCTGTATAGCATTTGCATGTATTGACTAGAAAATTTAAAAAATGTTTTTTAGATTATAAAAGCAACTTCAGAGTAATAGTGTAAATTTGTTAAGTAAAACTAAGTTATATATGTATATTTGTACAGATCTATTTTAATGCATAGTTAAAGGACCAAAAGAAACATATGAAACTATTGATAGTGGTTACTTCTGGAAAAAAAAAGTTGACATTTCTGAGGAGGATAATAGAATTGGGAATAAAAATTCTTTCATATATTTTTCTAATCCACATTGCCATCTTTTTACTATATGAATGTGAAATGTATATAAAGGTGTTTATATAGATTAAAAATAGTACCGAAATCTGTATGGTGGTAAATGAAGGCCTCTTGTAAATTCACCCCTTAGAAAAGCAAACAAAACAAACACATTGCCATCTGGTGGATTCTGACTCATGGGGAACCTATTGGACAGAGTAGACCTTCCCCATAGGGTTTCAAAGGCTATAATCTACATAAGCCAACTGTAGAGCAGCTGGTGGGTTCAAACCACTAACCTTTCAGTTATCAGCTAACACTTAACTACTGCCCCACCAGAGCTCCTTCCCTTAGAGATAACTACTGTTAAAGCGTGTGTTTTCTGTTAAAGGTACCATTTTAAAAGCATATGTGGATTTATATTTGAGCTAAACCAACTAAACAAGATTCTTAAATACGGTGTGTCAAGGAAGATGATATAAATAAATTAACAGGTAATTAAAAAATGTGAGAGAGGGGAGACTTGAAATGTAAGGAGATCTTAGCCAGACAGCTTCCTGAAGTTAGACATCATGCCTGCTTCTTTTTTTGTTTGTTTGTTTTTAATAAAGTACCCAGTGCCTGGCACATAAGATGTCAATATGAGCATGAAGGAATGACTGAAGAGTAGTAGAGGGAGTATTCAGGCAGAGGAAACAATATGTGAAAAAGGCCTGAATAAGATTCATTTGAGGAACTGAAGGTATGGCTGGATTGTAGAATGTGAGAGGGAGTGGTTAGATTAGCAAATGGCTAGATCATGAAGAATTTGTATAGATCGTACATAGTAAGGAGTTTAGACTTTATCCTGAAGGCATTTGGGAAGCCACTGTAAAATATCTAAGCAGAGATGTGAACATGATTAGATTTGCACTTACATACTAGGCTCTGCAGGATGGAGAATGGATTAGGACAACGAGTAAGAGTTGAATTAGAAACTTAATCTAGCAATGTAAATGGAGAGAAGGGAAAGGAAATTTAGAGATACAGAGCAGTACAATACAGTAGCCACTAAAAACATGGTATTGACTGCTTGGCATATGGCTGGTCCAATTTGAGTCATGTTTTAACTATAAAATGTGCACTGAGTTCTAAGACTTAAGATATGTAAAATATCCCTTATTTTGACAATATGGTGAAATAATATTTTGTACATGAACTGGGTTAATTTTACCTTTTTCTTTGTACTGTTTGTAATATGGCCCAGGAAAAATAAAATTTCTAGAAGACTTAGTGACTGACTGGATGAAAGGCATAAGTGGAAAAGCAGAAAGAGATCAGTGAAGTTTCTGACCTGAGAAGCTAGGTGATTGTTAGTTACTGAAACGCAGGGAGGACCAGGTTTGCTGTGGGGGAAAGGAAGCTTTCTGTAGAGCACCTAAATAAAGTCAAGGAATCAGATAGTTGAGTTTGGGTATCAGAAAAGAGATCAAGGATGAAATTAGAGATTTTGGAGTCTTAAGTGTGTGTGTCTATGTGTTAGATTGGGTTCTCTAGAGAAACACAAAAAACCAGCAAAGTATATATATATATTTAGAGAGAGAGAGAGAAATTTATCTTAGGAAAATGGCTCACAAGCGTATAGAAGCCGACAAGTCCAAGCCGAAAAGTCCGTCTCTGGAGGAGATGGGGCTTGTGGCCGCCTTGGCTTCCACAAGCACAGGGGAGCCGAGAGATTCAAGCTGGCATGCAGTATATTGGTTGTTGATTCCAACAAAAGATGAATCCGAGATCTCCAGGCCGAGCAGTGGGCCGCTCACTCAAGGAAGTCTGTAGTTCGCACACCAGGGTTCCAATCCCTTAAGGAATGCGGCTCTTCCAGATTGTCCTTGGATATCATTGCAAGCAGGCCACACCCCTAGGGAAACTCCCCTTGGGCAGACTGGCCACTCAGAACACAGTCATCTGATCCCATCATGGAAACAACC